TTCTTTTAAATTACTTTCGAACCCGGGGTCCAAAAATCGTTCTCTAGGAAATTACCGGTGTCTGTGTGTGTGTATGTGTGGGGGGGGGTATTTAAGACCCTTTCTCCACCACACACATTTTCTTTGACTTTTTAAGTTGACCTGTATATATATATTTGTGAAGTCTTGTTATTAAACTTCTCTGCTTTTATAGTTTGACGAATCTAGTTCTAATTAATGTCTTCCTGTCTCTCTCAAGCTAAAAAGCTCAAATTTGTCATTCATTTTAGCCCCGAAAGGATGAACATAAGTTCTGTGTGGGAATTGTCCAAATTTCAACGTTTTCTTTGATAATTTATTTTAGGAAACTACGACGAATCCTGGCGAAAAAAAGATGTTCTACCCAACGGTAAGAAAACCAAGGGAAGAATGAAAATAAAAATGGAGTTCATTGATAACAAACTCCGGAGATACACAACCTTCTCAAAACGGAAAACTGGGATTATGAAGAAGGCCTATGAACTCTCAACACTGACCGGTTAGTGGATATTATATTAAAATTATATTTTTATGAGATATTAAAACATCACAGTTTATCAAAAAAATATTCAGTCAAATTTATTTTGAATGTCATTGTCAGGGACCCAGGTGATGTTGTTGGTTGCATCAGAGACCGGTCATGTGTACACCTTTGCTACCAAGAAGCTCCAACCAATGATTACATCAGAGGCGGGCAAAGCATTAATCAAAACCTGTTTAAACTCACCAGAAGAAGGAGACACAGATGGTAGATTTTCAAATTTTTTAATTCAAAAAATTCACTGTAGTATATTTACGATTTTCTCATTATTAGTATAAAATTTACAACTTTTATTTTTTAGAAGTTGTGATTTCATATTCGATAAATAAATACAACAAAACGACCTAAGTTAAATGACTTACTGACTTTACCAGGACGGGATGGAGACGAGAGGATGTGTGCTGCCGGATTTGAGGAGACGGATCTAGGATGTGTGATGGAGGAGCAGGAGGAACAGGAAGGATTTGGAGATAATAATGATGATCTCGGAGGTTGGTTCGGAGTTATGAATTGTGTTTTCTGTGAAATGTTTCATCCATGGAATGTCTTGTCTGTGAAATGTTCCATCTATGAAATGTTCGATCTTTAAAATGTCTTGTTTATAAAATGTTCCATCTATGAGATGTCTTCTCTATGAAATGTTCTCTGAGAAATGTTCCATCTATGAAATGTTCATCTTTAGAATGTCTTGTCTATGAAATGCCCATCTATAGAATATCTTGTCTATGAAATGCCCATCTATAGAATGTTTTGTCTATGAAATATTCCATCTATGAAATGTCCATCTATGGAATGTCTTGGCTATGAAATGTTCCATCTATGAAATGTCTTGGCTATGAAATGTTCCATCTATGAAATGTCTTGGCTATGAAATGTTCCATCTATGAAATGTCTTTGTTTTGAATTGTCTTGGCTATGAAATGTTCCATCTATGAAATGTCTTGGCTATGAAATGTTCCATCTATGAAATGTCTTGGCTATGAAATGTTCCATCTATGAAATGTCTTTGCTATGAATTGTCTTGGCTATGAAATGTCTTGGCTATGAAATTTTCCATCTAAAAAATGTCTTGCCTATGAAACTTTCCATCCATGAATTTTCTTGGCTATGAAATGTTCCATCTATGAAATGTTACATATATGAAATGTCCATTTGTGGAATGTCTTGTCAATGAAATGTTCCATCTATGAAATGTCTTGTCAATGAAATGTTCCATCTATGAAATGTTACATATATGAAATGTCCATTTGTGGAATGTCTTATCAATGAAATGTTCCATCTATGAAATGTCTTGTCAATGAAATGTTCCATCTATGAATTGTCTTATCTATGAAATGTCTTGGCTATGAATTGTTCTTTCTATAAAATGTATTTCTAAAAAATCTTAAACTAAACATAATATGAACAATATAGAATAAACAAACCTATTATTAATCTGTATTATATCTGATATTGTATTGTAGAGACCGAGGAGCAGATTGATGCTCCGTCTGATGATGAATCTAACGAGATGAATGATTCTCCAAGAAATCTGTCTCTCCGGAAATATCCTGAAGGTTTGAATAGTAACACCAAACTAGAGACAAGATCTATTTACAAACAGTCCGAACCTTACTCAGATGAACCCCGAGCTGTCTCCTCCTCGGTATACATCGGGCAGAGATCCAACCCCGGAATACATCCGTCCTCAATATCCCAGGAGCTACTAGCACAGTTAGGATACAGTAATCTTCTAGCACAGTCCTTTTATTTATCCCAACAGAACCAGGAGGAGAGAATATCAGATAGTTTACCACGGAAACCTTTTCAACTGGAGGATTCTGTAATTTCTCATTTACTTCCGCGGGAGCCTCTTCCTCAATTACCTACTCCGCAGTCGGAGGCAAACCTTTCTCATTTAATGGCTCCGCGGTCGGAGGCAAACCTTTCTCATTTAATGACTCCGCGGTCGGAGGCAAACCTTTCTCATTTAATGGCTCCGCGGTCGGAGGCAAACCTTTCTCATTTAATAGCTCCGCGGTCGGAGGCAAATCTATCTCATATATCTTCTCCGCATTCAGAGTCTAATCTTTCTCCGGAAAATCTTAGTTTAAACAAAGATTAAGATAAATAGCAGTCGAATATTTCTACAGTGATAACCAGAATATTCTGAAAATGGGAAGACGACTTTTGGACAAAGAAACCCATTTTACTTAATTTTTTTAATAAGTACGTCTCGTTAAACTAATTGGTTTGGTTACAACATCAAACACACTTTAAGTATTGCTATAAAGTCGTCTTACTATTTTTATTTTTCTGGTTATCACTGTATATGTTTGTTTATTAATACCCATTACCAAAGAATAAATTTAATATTTAATTAGCATTATTTTTATTCATTTAGATATAAAAATAAAGAAAATGTTAGTGCAGGTGTTTACAATTATTATTTAAGAGTTTAACAGAGTTATACAAATATAACTTTGTACAAAGCGCGGGTGTATTCTTTTAAATTACTTTCGAACCCAATAATAAAAAACTCTTGTTCTCAATGCCATTAAATTAACCAAATAGTTGATATATCTGATGTTTTCAAGGAACTAGAAACCTGATCTCAAGTCACATTTCATTAATGAACAGGTTTACCCGATTCACAACCATTTACCCTCAAATATAGTTGAGATATCTTTGTTTTTCTTTCTGAAAATTGTTAGTTTCAGTTTCCTAATTCTTTTTAAACTTGACTTAATGAATAATAATACACTTTACAGAGAGACAAAGAAGGAAGAATCTATCTTTTTTAGAGATAAACAATTGTAAGCGACGATATATTGCTTTCAGAAAAAGGTTTAAAGAGAACCGGTTTGAATCGAGCATTTACCTCATTTAGTCCCTCACTCTTAAAGATAATTTTACTTAATTATATCCAGTTTCTTAGTCGCCCTAACATGGGTATCTATCTATTTACACTGTTTTCATGTGCGTAGTTAGGGGGAGGGAATAGATGGTAGTTAACCCCCCCCCCCCGGAAATCCTTAACTACGCTTATATTTGACTACGAACCATAGTGCGGTTGTATCTATATATGGAATTTGAATTACATTTTAATATGTTAATAAAGTGGTGTTTTGTTATTGTTATATTGGAGAAGGTCGTCCATATGGATGATGCTTGACCTCGCTTGAGGCCAGAGGCTGGCTCTGTTCCTGAAACAAAGCAAAGTACATATTACTTCGTTTATAATGATCTTACCAGAAAAAAAAAGAAAAAAATAACCCGAGTATTCACGACCGGTCAAGTAAATGTCATAAAAAGCGTTTTCTTCATATTTTTGGGTAACTATTTATTGAAGCTAGTGGAAACTGGTTTCTGACCTACGATAATTTTGATTTATGATAATTTTAAGAAAGCTGCAGAATAGGAATTAGTTTGGAAACTCTTTAGGTTGGTTACCATAGCACCGTCCCCTTTTGTTTTTATTTTGTTCATCTTTCAGTTTAAAGTCTCAACTTGTATCCGTCTGTTCATTTTATGCTTATAATATTTGCAAAAATTATTTTAATGTAAATATTCGCCTCTAACCAGCATCAAATAACATTTTCAAATAAGATACAGGGTGTCCCACGAAACATGACAATAGCAAGACGAATTGAAAGTCGGCTTTGGTATTTGAATTTATTTGTGACATTTAGTCTTCTATCTACTTTAACATGTATGATTCTTGAAACAATTATCACATAATTCTCCTAGCCCTGGCATTTCCAAAAAGTTACAAATTTATATATTTTAATCATAAAAAATGGAGACCATTAAAGCTCAAAATAGTTTATGATCGACCACTTTATTTATTTCGAGTCCCAGGACGATCTCATGGACGATCATATGTTTTGTGAGGTTTTTAACTAACCTTGATTTCCGGTGATATGTACGGAGTATTATTCTGGAAGCACCATTTTTCCTGCTTCTTCGCGTACAGTACTGATCAAATTTAAAACACAATTAATTTAAAAAAAGCTAAAAACTTATTTTAGTTTTTTTAAAGATACTGTAAGCATGAATTCAAGTGACCCTCCATGCAAAGATGGCAATTTCTGATATACGCACGTGGATTTAACGGTTCTGTTAATATTCCAGAAAGCTGTGACTTTCGATCACAATTTGACCCATTAAACATAATTTTTTAACTATTTTTGTTAAATACTTTTTTGTCGGAATATACATTTTGAATGAAAAAATATAGAATAAACAAATCCGTAAGTTAAAAGTGTCTATTCTGTTTTACAACAGTAGAAATGCGCAAGTTGCTTTTGTTGAGAAACCACAACCGAAAATAATAAGTTTTCGAAATTGTAAACATCAATATCTAGTTCATATTTGATCAGAAAAAGCTTATAAAGGCACGTTTGCGATTTTGGCATTGACATCTCTGCATAAAGCGTCACTTGAAATTACGTTCCTTCCGCGGTCCCTTTAAAGAAGAACCGAGACTCACACTTTTTTCTGTTAATATTTCGAGTTTTTCTTGAAAAAAATTGTTTTTTGATCATTAAATCTTTATAATAAAGCTCTTAGCTCATTTAATTATACTTGGGGGTAACATTGGCTGACAAAATAGATTTATTTCTTCAAAAATCAAACTTTTTTTGTCAAAAGACGAATTTATTTTTATTTCACGTGCAACGCTGGACATTAATTCAACTCCTTTAGCAGCTTATAGTATCATATAAAATTCTAGTAATTAAATTAAACGTTAAGATAAAAAATGCCATTTAATATTTTCTGAAAAGAAGAAAATTAAAATATTTTTCTAACCTGTTAAACCGATTATGATGGCTAAGATGAGAAGAATGATCAAAGAAATAACAAGAATTATCGCAGTCTTAGGATCAGCCTGTCAGAAGACAAATTATGCAACTAATTTTGATATCCAACCTACTGTCATACTGATCTAATATTTTCCACGCTTGCTTTTAGAAAATTGAGTAAATACAAAAACCACATTTTAAAAATTCCTAAATTACATTTTCTCGAAACTACAAAATCTCTAACATTAAAATCTGTGGCCCCAGCACTCGGGAAAGTCTGATCTAGCTTAGAATACGGAAAACAATATATCTAATAGGGATTTTGTACAGTGAAACCCTTAATAAAGAATACATCGAAAAAACTCATCAAATGTCGTATTCTTCACTTTCTGATAATGGAATGTTGCAGATATTTAGTTTTTTAATTAAATGAGTATATGGAACTCTTTAAAACTGTTCCCGCATATTCATGGCTATTTACTTATTTTCGCAAATACTGATATTTGCATTTGATAAATTCTTCCGATGTATTCGTTATTAAGGGTTTCACTGTAGCATATTGGGTAATTCAGTCTTTTACATCCTGAGTCACAGGTCAACCCGTAGATCGGTTGACAAGTTACCAATTAAATAAATTAAATTCAACCTGTGATGGGACATCCTCGTCCTCGGGCCAAGGTTTATCAACGGTTATTCTAAACTCTTGTTCTCCGGATAGTTCAACCTTGCTGCGATAATAAGTTTTTTTTAAAGAGATTGTTCATATGTTTTAACATGAAATTGAAATTAACAACACTATCCTACCTGGAATTAACAACACTATCCTACCTGGAATTAACAACACTACCCTACCTGGAATTAACAACACTCTCCTACCTTAAATTAACAACACTACCCTACCTGGAATTAACAACACTACCCTACCTTGAATTAACAGCACTACCCTACCTGGAATTAACAACACTCTCCTACCTTAAATTAACAACACTACCCTACCTGGAATTAACAACACTACCCTACCTGGAATTAACAACACTATCCTACCTGGAATTAACAACACTACCCTACCTGGAATTAACAACACTACCCTACCTGGAATTAACAACACTATCCTACCTGGAGTTAACAACACTACCCTACCTAAAATTAACAACGCTACTCTACATGGAATTAATAACATAACACTATCTGGAGTAAACAACACTATCCTACCTGGAGTTAACGACCATTTTGAAGGTTTTGTCCATATCTTCAACAGAAATATTTTGAATTTTGAGCGTTGTAATATACTTGTTTTTATCAACCTGTAAAGTAAATATTTTTAGAAAATTTGTGAAATTTCATCTTTATTTTATTGAATAAGAAACCTGTTGGGTTGGAAGAAGATTATATTTCTGACTTTGCTCAGGGTTCCCTTGTGATATTACAAGAGTGTTCTCGCCTAGGATCTCCCAGTGGATATAAGGACCCGGAGAACCGTGAACCTCTACACTAGGAGAATATTTATTTTTATTATTTGTATCCAAGAATTGTTTGTGCTTTTTTCCTAGTATAGAGTTGGGTATTTTTTAACTACGATGAAGTAGTTGTACCAACGTCTTTAGTAAACATGGAAGTTAAGTGACGAATTCGAAATCGTCTTTGTTAAGTTAATTAGCGTTACGTATTACCTAATTTCAATGGTCATAATAAAGTACTTATCTGGCGCCGCAGAGTAAAGAATTAACCAAATAAGATGGTTTGATTTTGACAGTATAAGAGATAGTACTGAAACCAATCGTTTATATATATATATATACATTTTATCCTTGCACTTTACAGTACAGTAATTTACAGAACAGCACAGTACAGAAAACTAAAGTAAAGCACAATACAGTAAATTACAGTGAATTGCAGTACAGCATGTACAGTACAGCACAGTACAGTACAGTACAATACAATACCTGATATTAAGAGTATCTCCAGTATAAACTGGAGGTAATCTAGGACTAGGTAGAATATTCAGAAACTCTACTCTCAGATCAATATCAACCATGGAGGAGAACAGCACCTCTTTATTCATCCCGTACTAGAATATAGGTTCATATAGTTCATATAGTTCATAATCAAAATTATCAAAATTTAATGCTTTTAACCTCCTCGAACACTGATGCATCTATTCTTGTTTACAAAATCCGAGCAGAGAGAACTGGTTTCAATATATGTACGCAGAGTTTACGCAACTGCAATTAACTTTTCTTGCATTATAACCTTGGTCCATATTATTCTCCTGTAATGCATTTTGGATCATGTCAAAGGTGTCTGCATTATATTTGGAAACTTAAGGCACAAATCTTTTTGATATTGCCTTCGCTTTCCCTGGTTGGTAATGAAATCATTCCGCGTCATATGACAACGGAGCAAAACAATCTCCGGGAAAAGGCGAATTACATAGAAATAAAGTCCGTTTGAAAAAGACAATCTATATTCTATAACCTTATCTGCAGAATATGTCATGTTTTAGAGATTAATCGTTGTCATTTGTGGAAATCTTTCGGATTCAATCAATCAGAGTTTTGATATGAAAATGGCAACCTTTCTACGGAAAATGCTCGTTGGTCAGAGCTTTAATTCCTTTCGCTTAATCTCTATATCAACTGTGGACACTTTTAGTTTCCTGATTAATCCTTTCTTTTGGATATCCCTCCTGGATTCCGCCCAATGAGAGTTCTCTCACAATTCTAAAGTTTTCTGCTCAGATATCAGCGGTTTAGGGATCTCATTAATTGTTGTAATAATTCACAAAATTTTTCTCCTCTCTTGTTGGTCAGACGGGAACAGAACGAAAAAAAATTCTCCGTTTTAAGACTTTAAAACCGTCAGCTTTAAAGTTTTTCCACTGGTAATCAAATTTAGTTAACTTTGAAGCCAAGCAATATCCATAAAAAATTTTGCCTTTATATGGTATAGAAGTTTTTGGCCTTAAATCTGTGATTACAAGGCATTACAGACGCAGGATACCTCAATGGTGCCGGGAATGGAAACTTTTCCCGGTTCACATTTAAATTCAAAACTTTCAAATTCAGCCGTTGAAACTAAGCGATATAAAAGTTTTACTCTCAGGTTTAATAAATGGAAATATAATAATCTGTGAAGTTAGTGCTCAGGTTTGTTCACAATACAGTTTTTCTGAGATTTTAAAACTTCAGCAAAAAAACAATTTAAATTGGTACGCTGTTGTCCAGCCAGCTAGGTTAGTCGCTAATAAAGGGGAAGTATTGGGTAGGATAAATGATTCTGTTGAAGAAAGTATGATGCAAGTCGATGTTCCAAAATTTCAAAGGGAAGAAGGGGTATTTAGACCGTTTCTAAGCCTTTAAATGTAGTATACATCGGAGATTATTGACTTTTCCCCTTAAATCTAAAAAATGTAAAATTTAAAAAACTAAATTCAAAAACTAAAAAAATGTGGTTCTTGGTTTTGGGGTTTAACGAGATTATTTTATTCCTATTTCCGAGCAATAACCTGGTAATAGGAGCAATGGATTTTCTCTCCATCATGCTTAGGCTGCGGAGTAAACACTAACTTCTCCTCTACTCTATACAGACCTAGATAATACGAGAATAGGGTGCGGAGAAAACACTAGCTTCTCTAAACAGACTTAGATAATAAAGGGATAGGGTTGAAGAGAAAACACTTCTACTGTACTCGTAACAGATCTAGATAATACACGGATAGGGTTGAAGAGAAAACACTTCTCCTGTACTCTTAACAGACCTAGATAATACAAGGGTAAGTTTGCGGAGAAAACACTTCTCCTCTACTCTAAACAGACCTAGATAATACAAGGATAAGTTTGCGGAAGTAACACTTCTCCTGTACTCTTAACAGACCTAGATAATACAAGGGTAAGTTTGCGGAGAAAACACTTCTCCTCTACTCTAAACAGACCTAGATAATACAAGGATAAGTTTGCGGAAGTAACACTTCTCCTGTACTCTTAACAGACCTAGATAATACAAGGGTAAGTTTGCGGAGAAAACACTTCTCCTCTACTCTAAACAGACCTAGATAAAACAAGGATACTTTGCGGAGAAAACACTTCTCCTGTACTCTATACAGACCTAGATAAAACAAGGATAAGTTTGCGGAGTAAACCCTTCTCCTCTACTCTAAACGAACCTAAATAATGCAAGGATAGGGTTTCGGAGTAAATACTTCTCCTCTACTCTATACAGACCTAGATAATACAAGGATAGGGTTACGGAGAAAACACTTCTCCTCTACTCTATACAGACCTAGATAATACAAGGAAAGGGTTGCCGAGTAAACACCTCTGTTCTACTCTATTCAGACCTAGATAATACAAGGATAGGGTTGCGGAGTAAACACTTCTCCTCTACTCTAAACAAACCTAAATAATACAAGGATAGGGTTACGGAGTAAACACTTCTCCTCTACTCCATACAGACCTAGATAATACAAGGATAGGGTTACGGAGAAAACACTTCTCTTGTACTCAATACAGACCTAGATAATACAAGGATAAGTTTGCGGAGTAAACACTTCTCCTCTACTCTGTACAGACCTAGATAATACAAGGATAGGGTTACGGAGTAAACACTTCTCCTCTACTCTAAACGAACCTAAATAATACAAGGATAGGGTTACGGAGTAAACACTTCTTTTGTACTCTTAAACAAACATGAATAATACAAGGATAGGATTGCCAAGTAAATACCTCTCCTCTACTCTAAACAAACCTAAATAATACAAGGATAGGGTTTCAGAGTGAACACTTCTCCTCTACTCTATACAGACCTAGATAATACAAGGATAGGGTTGCGGAGTAAATACTTCTCCTCTACTCTAAACAGACCTAGATAATACAAGGATTGGGTTACTGAGTAAACACTTCTCCTCTACTCTATACAGACCTAGATAATACAAGGATAGGGTTACGGAGTAAACACTTCTCCTCTACTCTAAACAAGCCTAGCTAATACAAGGATTGGGGTTCAGAGCAAACACTTCTACTCTACTCTATACAGACCTAGCTAATAAAAGGATAAGGTTTCAGAGTAAACACTTCTCCTCTACTCTATGCAAACCTAGATGATACAAGGATAGGGGTTCGGAGTAAACACTTCTCCTCTATTTATACAGACCTGGATAATACAAGTATATGGTTACGGAGTAAGCACTTCTCCTTTACTCTATACAGACCTAGATAATACAATGAGGAGATGTTACCAATAAAGACCTAGTTAATAAAAGAAATTAAGGGTTGTTACTCAACAAATACCTATAATAGGACAAGAACAGGGGGATGTTACCTAATAAAGACCTCGTAAATACAAGAATAAGGATTGTTACTCAAATATCTATAAAACAAAGAGAGTGGTTTTTTACTCAAAAATCTGGACAGAACACGGTTAGGGATTGTTTCTACATACAGAGTAATAAATACATATGTTTTATTTATGATATTGTTTTTTTAAGAATAGAATAATACTGAGCATTTTGTCAGGATTAAATTGAAAAAACTAGTTTTCAATATTTTTATATTATTTCTGAGTGAATGACAAAGAATATGGGAACTGGGATTTCACAAATAGAAACTCTTTCAACATTCTTTTCTAGTTAACACAACTGCTTATCTAAAGGATGAGCAGTATTGTTTAGTGAATTTATTTGATTAGAATGAATTTGTTTGTTTATCTAGTGTTTATATCTTATACCTGGTTCATCTAGTGTTTATATCGTATACCTGGTTCATCTAGTGTTTATATCTTATACCTGGATCATCTCTTGTTTATATCTTATACCTCGTTCATCTCGTGTTTATATCTTATACCTGGTTCATCTCGTGTTTATATCTTATACCTGGTTCATCTAGTGTTTATATCTTATACCTGGTTCATCTAGTGTTTATATCTTATACCTGGTTCATCTAGTGTTTATATCTTATAGCTGGTTCATCGAGTGTTTATATCTTATACCTGGTTCATCTAGTGGGAACAAAACAGATGATTCTGTGTTCAGGATTCTATTCTTTACAGGGTTAGATCCAAAGTGCCATTTAAACTTTCCTAAACAAAAATTTTAAAATGGTGTTAACATTAAATTTTGCTAAATTTGATATTTTCAACACTATTATTTTGGTTCGCAGTTCTATACAGATTTGTACCAGAAGGTTAAAGCCAATTTAGATTATAAATACAATATTAATGATTAGATGATTTAATAAAATGAACATTTTAGAATATAACAAGATTAAAACCAAAATAAAATCTAATTACAATTTTATTTTATTTCACCATCAAGTTAGCATAATTGATAAAGTACACAGTAGGTTTTTTTAAATGTTTTGTTTGAAATATTTTTTACCTACTGGTCGGGAATGATCAGCTTCGCAGAGGAAAGAGACCGGGTTTCCTGTTAATAATAAAATATTCTAATATGATTCACTGTTTATAATAGATGGTAAAATATTGTAATATGATTCACTGTTTATATTAGATGGTAAAATATTGTAATATGATTCACTGTTTATAGTAGATAGTAAAATATTGTAATATCAATCATTATAAAGAAATCCGCACAGTACAAGGAAGACGTTATTTTTATTCTAAATAAAAGGTTTGCGACCTCTTGACTCATCTAGTTTCATTGAAAAGAAAAATAGGGTGTAAGCATGTTTTAACCTCTTACATATTTGGTATCTGTACCTGCATTACTGTACAAGTATGGTATCTGTACCTGCAGTACTGTACACGTATGATATCTGTACCTGCAGTACTGTACAAGTATGGTATCTGTACCTGCAGTACTGTACAAGTATACTATCTGTACCTGCAGTACTGTACAAGCAGTATGGTATCTTTACCTGCAGTACTGTGCAAGTATGGTATCTGTACCTGCAGTACTGTACAAGTATACTATCTGTACCTGCAGTACTGTACAAGCATAGTATCTGTACCTGCAGTTACTGTACAAGCATACTATCTGTACCTGCAGTAACTGTAAAAGCATAGTATCTGACTCATCTTGACTCATCTAGTTTCATTGAAAAGAAAAATAGGGTGTAAGCATGTTTTAACCTCTTACTTATTTGGTATCTGTACCTGCATTACCGTACAAGTATGGTATCTGTACCTGCAGTACAGTACACGTATGATATCTGTACCTGCAATACCGTACAAGTATAGTATCTTTACCTGCCCGGTACTGTACAAGTAAAGCTTCTGTACCTGTAGTACTGTACAAGTATAGTATCTGCACCGTTAGTACTGTACAAGTATAGTATCTGTACCTGCATGGTACTGTAGAAGTAAAGCTTCTGTTCTGTACCTGCAGTACTGTACAAGTATAGTATCTGTACCTGCAGTTACTGTACAATCATACTATCTGTGCCTGCAGTAACTGTACAAGTATAGTATCTGTACCTGCAGTTACTGTACAAGTATGGTATCTGTAACTGCAGTATTGTGCTAGTATGGTATATGCACCTGCTGTACTATGCAAGTTTATTATCTGAACATGCAGTACCTGTACAAGTATGGTATCTGTAACTGCAGTACTGTGCAAGTATCTGTTCCTGCAGTAACTGTACAAGTATAGTATCTGTACCTGGAGTATCTGTACAATGTACAAGCATAGTATCTGTACCTGCAGTACTGTACAAGCATAGTATCTGTACCTGCAATAACTGTAACAATTCCGTATTGTGTTTTGAAGTCTAAAGAAGCTTCCTCAAAAACATCAAGAATTGTGCTTAAAGAAGAAGTTTCGTTTGTCGATGAATCGTACATCCTGAACAATTAAAACTTTTTATGAGAAAAAAATGAAGAGACAACAACTTGACATTAAAACTACTGAAAAAATATTTTTTTCCTCTTTACTTTACGTAATCATCTTTTCTCCCTCCTAATCCTACTCCTACTGCTACTCTGAGTCCTACTAAGAAACAACTCTTTCACTATTAGTTCCTGTTCTTTCACTATTAGTTCCTGTTTTTTTTTCCGAATCCTAGTTCTCCTACTTCTACTCTTAACTCAATTTATCAAACATATACTTCTACTCCTACTTCTACTCCTACTTCTACTCCTAGAAGCTCTGTTTCGCGTGATTAATTATGCTTATTACATGTAATGGAAAGCCATATTTTTATTGTGTGAGATTTTTAAAAGCTTCCTTTATTTAGGACTGTTTTTTTTATGTATTCGTAAATATTATGTTTTGACTGCAGTAAAGTTTACTATGTACACATTTTGTACTCTAAATTGTAATTTAAACTTTGGCTTTCGAAGAATTTTGTAAATTGTATTTAATAATTGCGATATTTTCAGTATTAAAACATCAAATGCCGAGATTGGATAAATTTTATCTACTCTCACTGTTCTTCATTTACCTTTTGGGGTTGACTAATGACTATGGCTTGTAGCGAAACATTTTCATACTAGTTCTTAAACGTAAGAATGGGAATATACCCCAACTATGTTCTTCAATTCCTACTCCCACTCCTACTCCTACTCTTGATCCTTCACTTACTCCTACTCTTGATCCTTCTCTTACTCCTACTCTTGATCCTTCTCTTACTCCTACTCTTGATCCTTCTCTTGCATCAAATTTTATTCTATATTGTCCTACTCCTATCTATATACTACTACTCCTATTCTATATATACTCCTACTCCTATTCTATATACTCCTACTCCTACCCGCATATCCAGGTTCCACTGTGTTCTCTCTTCACATTCTTGAGAACAACATTGCACTCTGTGTCAGTTCCATTAAACCGCAAATTTGGTTCTCTCCTAAGAATATATATTTGCATGAGAAAATTTAGAATACTCTTCATAATTTTTATCAATTGAGCGTTAAATTTGTTTTGTGCATGGCACCAGAAGCCTCATGAGTTTTCTGATCAGAATTAACCTGCACTGTTGGTTTCTACCGACTCCTAGATCAGAACAGGATGCATTGGATGGAAGTATCCAGGAGCACCACGTAAATGGAGAATCTCCTCCACAGGATATCTTGATATCTGAACCTGGTTTAGCCAAGAGTTTCTAAACAATTATTAATTAGTTAAGAGATGAAATTAATGCATGTTGAATAAAGTATTTGTTTCTCATGCTTAGTCTATAGAGTTCATGTCTTGTCTTTGATTATTCTTTTTATCATTGGATTTCATGAATTATCTTTAGTTCTCATGTTTTGTCTTTTATGCTCCTGTTTTGTCTTTTGTGCTCATGTTATGTCTTTTGTGCTCATGTTATGTCTTTTGTGCTAATGTTTTGTCTTTTGTGCTCATGTTTTGTCTTTTGTGCTCATGTTTTGTCTTTTATGCTCCTGTTTTGTCTTTTGTGCTCATGTTTTCTCCTTGGTTATCATGTTTTGTCTCTTGTGCTCATGTTATGTCCTTGGTTATCATGTTTTGTCTCTTGTGCTCATGTTATGTCCTTGGTTATCACGTTTTGTCTCTTGTGCTCATGTTTTTTCTTCTTTCCAACACCATGTGCCATAAGATGTAAATGGTTTCCAGACATTACCTCACTTATGCTTAAGATCTTAATACCAAATACTTCTTCCCCTGATAACGCTGAAAAAAAAAATTTTTAAATAGATTTTTTACAAATCTTTTAAAATATTTGATAAAAATATTTCTTGCGTTGTTGTAGAGAAGCCTATTACTATTAGATAAGATAGATAAGATATAGTTTATTGCTTAAAATACAAATACAAGCTATAATGTTACAGGAAAAAAATCTGCAACTATTTTTATATTGTTTACTATTTGTATGTTTTGTATGTACATATTTGCTGTTTTGGGTATTATCCCCACCTAGTTAATATTAAAACATTTACAATATGATGAATATTACTAGGTTTTAAAAGTTTAGGATAAGTCAGGGATTACTAGTTAAATTTAGAGAGACCAAGGTGCAGCAGAACAAAATAATTGATTTTGAGGATCCAGCTCTCCTCGTTGGAAGAGTTATATAAGTGGTAAAAAACTATTTTCAAGAAGCGTATCTAGGTAAAGCCCTTAATCCATTTGTTTTGTGTTGTTTAATAAATTTATATTCATATCCCCTACTAAGGTGACTTCATTTACAATCTTCAAATTTGGATCAGACTTAAACTTAGAGAATATATCACTTATTGTTTGATTAAAGTATTTAATGTTTGCATATGGAGCACTATTTGGACGATATACAGGGTGTCCCAAAAAACATGGGAATTCAGTGACGAATTCGATATCGTCTTTTCAAATAATTCTTTGATTTAGTATAGTGATACCTACAGAGAAAGCTGTAATATGTAAGAGTTTCGTCTGCTATGTTCACATTTGTTTGTTTATGTTTTGACTGCATTCGGTTGTAAAACAAGAAAATTGCATTATACAAACAGAGTAAACTTGTCCGTCTTCACTGTAGACACATCTTTACAGTCTTTTACCCTTTTCATAAAATAAGCTCTAGCAGACATAAATTAGGTATTACAATGCTAATTCATAACAAAGACGATATCAAATTCGTCACTGAATTCCCATGTTTTTTGGGACACCCTGTATATTGCCCACAAGGATATATTTGTTCTTGTCAGTTTTAATCTTAATAAATTGACATTCAAAATCCCGTGGAATAAAGATTGAGATACACTCAGCTGGTTCAAAATAGAAAGAAAATAGAAAGATACACCCTGAGTTATTATTTAATCCCTGTTTATCTCTTATTCTAAAGTGTAAAGGATGGCAATTTTCTAAAATAAATTCTAAGTTCTGAGGTTTATTCCATATTTCTTGTAGTGCAATGACATATGGCTTAAAATGATTAAAGGTTGTGGCTAAAAAAGTTTTAAATTCTTCACCTGGCAGACTTTGAATGTTTAAGGATAAAATACTGAATTGATTTGTTTCCAGACTTTTAAGTTTATTACTTAACTCAATCTCTTCAAAGTATTGACAATTATGAATATTGTTTTGATAAATAGAATCTTGAAAAGTAGATTTTAGGTCGAAAATACGATTTTTTTGTGCGGTTCCAGAACCTAACCAGGATGGTATTGTTTGGTAGATAGTGACCATGCTTGTATGTACGTCATTCTCTTGAACTATGACATTGTATTTAGATTTGATCAACTGACAAGCATAAGTTGTTGAAGTAACTTTCTCCTGTTTAGGTTACTCCTCAGGTTTTATCAAGCTAGGTTTTTTTCCCTACAACCCCTGAGATTATGAGGTTTCCCATCATAGAGCGTTGTTAAATCTCATCAAGAAGGTCACCTTGTGCTCTACTTTGCTTCTCTAGATCATCAATTCTTACTTTGCGTTCCCTTAGTATATCCTGCCGGTCAACTAAGACAGAACTTAGATCCGTAGGACCTATCTTTGCATCAAAAATGCTTCCCTTAACTCCAACTTCTCCAATTTTTTTTACTAAATTGGTATTTTCTATTGTTTTAAACATGGTTGAAAAGTGTTTGAAAATTATTTATATAAGAAAGAAACAAACTTTATAATTAAATCCATAAGAAATTAGAAAACCTTATCTAAGACAAGTAGAAAACCTGTTCGAATAAGATGTACTATGTAGATTGTAGGGTCCAGTTGGCCTTTAGTTTTTATTTTTATTGGTTTGATTTAATGATTTAACTAGAATCCTACCGAGTAGAACACCGCATAGCAACAACCTAAACTCATGCTTCATTTTTTTTAAAAATCTGGAATTAAGAAAATTATATATATTTATTTTATTTTTCAAAGCTTAAATGTATGAACATTGTATACAATGTACATTGTTATACTACTCTGTGTGGATAGCATAATTACTGTAAAATTAAAGAAACAAATTCTAACTTTTTTATGGTTATTGTTAATCGTTAACACTTAAGATCTCGATATCTAATGTGCGCACTTTTAAATTTGAGGATCAATACTGGATCCCTCATCAATACTGGATCCCTCATCAATACTGGATCCCTCATCAATACTGGATCCCTCATCAATGCCTAATCCCAAAATTCACAAGTTCTGACTTCTGATTGGACTTATTGAATTAACAGTATTATATGCAAGGGTTTAATGCAAGGAAAGTTATTTGCGGTCATGTATACTCTGCGTACATATTGAAACCAGTTCTCTCGGGGCGGAATTTGTAAACAAGAATAGATGCATCAGTGTTCGTTCAGTATCCGAGGAGGTTAAAAGCATTAAGTTTGATAATTTTCATAATTCACATAATAGTTTCCTATGACCAGAATATTTCATTGATTTTTTTATGTGAAAGATGGATTCCATGTCAGGCTGTAACATCCGTCTTGTGTTTACATTACCGCTCAGAGACAGTACACTGCAGTACAAAAGATGCGTACACTTCCGAAATAACTTTCCTTGCATTACATCCTTGATTATAGGCTAGTAATTAATAAATGCAAGTTATATACGTTTAAAAAAAATTATGTATGACCATGTTTGGACTAAAAAAATATTTAAACACATTAGCTAATTTTTTATTTATGATGAATTTTTTTCTATCAAAAATAAAAGAATTAAGTCTCTGCAACAAACTCTGATTCCCTAATTCTTATATCTTTGAAACCCAATGTGATAGATATTTCAAAATTTAAATTCTGGCATATGATTCACCGACTTAGGGTCAAATGACCTAGGGTCAAATACCCGACACAGGGTAAAACGACATAGGGTAAAACGACCTAGGGTAAAATGCTATATGGTAAAACGACACAGTGTGCAACAAATGTGCAATATTTTCTTTTAGAGACAGCACATTATTTAACCTTTTGTAGGCCGCAGCGCTCGGGGCTAGAAATGAAATTTTAAGCATAGACAAATAACTTTTTTCGAAATTATAAAAGTTTTTAGGGAAAATTTTAAGTGATTGCAAGTAAATTTAGTTTTCTGTCTGTACACTGTAAAAAGCTGGAACCTGTTTACCCTGTGATCACTGCTTAAACTAAAAACTAATGAATACAGAATATTACCTGTATAAAACCTTATCTAGAGTAAATATAAGATTTATGACTAAACTATGCAATCCTGTCATACTCACTGCTATAAGATAAAAACATAGTAATTCATGATTTATCATAAATGATTATTTGCCCATTCTAAGAATTTTGAATTTAAAAGAATAAATATATTATTATACAACAATAAACTGCTCTAAAGAATGAATATAATATTAGACGACAAGAAACTGCTCGAAAGGATAAATATTTTTCTGAAAATGTGCCCTAAACATTTAAGCAGATAGATAGAAACATGTAAGTTAAAAAAAACTGCTCTAAAGCATCTACCCAAAGTCCATGGGAAGGTTTCTAACCTCAGTATTCATGTATTCTTGTATTATATATATACCCTAGTATTCGTGTATCCTTGTATTCTCTGTATCCATGTATGAATGTGTATCCTAGTATTGTTTTTATCCCTATATCCTAGTATTGGTTGTATCCCTGTATCTCTGTATCCCTAGTACCAGATAATAGAACAAGGATTAATTATGAATTACCAGGAACCAAATCCCTGCGGGTTTTGTTACAATATCAAAGTAGGTACAATATATATAACTACATATTTATAATACTATTATTTTAAATATAATCTAAAAAGGCAAAACTTCTCAATAAAGAGAGATTTTCTGTTAACAGATTGTATTACTGTTAAAGGGACAGACCGGCTATGTAAGATAGTTAAACTGAGTATACATTGTTGTGGACAAATTCTTTAGGATTCATTTGAGATATATAAAACTTTTTAAAGATCCTTAGTTTGAGCGCAAAGTCGACGCTCAAAATCGTACTTTTGGATGGATACGTTTTCAGACTTGTTTTTTTTAAATCATTAAATAACGACGAGAAAAAATGTAAACAAAATTCTACAGTAAACTAATTAGTTGTTTAGGAACAAGTTGAGAAAATAAGTCTTATCATCGAAAATAAGTAATTTTATTCAATTATTAGTTTCTATGATCTCTCTTTAATTACAACAATTTTCTGGAATTTTTATTAAAATTACGACATTTGAAGAATTTGAAGAAATCTGCGAACAAATTCATAGAAAATAAGAAATTCAATATATAATGGTAAAACAGGAAATAGTTAGTTCTAACTTTGATTTATTGACAAATTTCTTTTGAGAAATATGTTCCTATAGTTTACTATAGAATTTTTACTATGATTTTCGACGTCGTTATTTGATAATTAAAAAAACCGATTCTGAAAACGTACCTACACAAATTCATGATTTTGAATTTCGACTTTGCGCTCAAACTCAGTAATTATACACCGTGGAAAAGTTTTATGTGTCTCAAATGAATCCAAAAGAATTTGTCCACAACACTGCATACTCAGTTTAACTACCTAACATAGCCGGTCTATCCCTTTTACAGTGATACCATTTTTAACAGAAAATCTCTCTTTATTGAGAAGTCTTGCCGTTTTAGATTATATTTTGTTCCAAACTTTAGCTTTAGCCACGAAAAAAAAACTGAAAAGAGGAGAACCTTTAGGGACATTTTTAGTAAAAAAACTTTACAAAATGGCGCCCATGTACTGTTATTTCTAGATACCCTAAGTTAACAGCAAAGTAGGAATCTAAATAATTTAAAAGTGAATTTCAATTTTGTTTTAAATAAAAATGGGAAAATATCTTTACAAATCTCGAAAATTTTCTTTAAAAAATCAGGGAATTTTATGGTACATGTGATATAAAAATCGCGATTAATTAAGAATGTATGTATAATATGGTGCACTACAGTTCGATTAAAGGCGTAATTATTAGAGCCTTTTATTATTCTTTACTTTAGTCAAAGACTGCAGAAACATAGACATTTTTTATTTCTTTTTTTAATTCTTATTTTATTTTTAGAACATTTGGGTTTGTCTAAATTCCGAATGTAAAATGCACATTTAATCCCATTTTTTCTAATATATTGCGAAGTTTGTTTACAATATGAATTCTCAGATTTTTAGATCTAAACATTTAGTTTATACTCCGGGTTTAGACTTCAGTAGAGAGGAGTTCATCATATCTTGATAAACTTGAGATTTATCAGATTTATCAGATTTATCAGATTTATCATGCTTTTTGTCATTCTTCTGCCATGTTTAAGTAGGTCTTATACTATAAAATATATATATGTATCGTTTTTTGAAAATATTCAGCTAATCCGTTTTGAATTAAACATGTAATTTACAATATAAATCTTAACACATTTTAGCAAGCTAATTTTTGGGACTCTGTATGTAGATTCGGTACGCAAATGCATTCCAACATAATTTGATTAAAGGAATTGAGTTTTTGCAACAAACTCAAATTTTCTAACCCCTATAGCTTCGCAACCTGATGGTGTAAACCTTTGATATTTCAAACTAAGACTATTAGATCTAACAGAATTAATAGTTTGAAATATGAAAGGTCTAGGAGAATGGGTTGCCATGTTATAGAAATTAGAAAGTCAGAGTTTGTTGCAAATACTCATTTCCTTTAAGTCACAGATTCGGATTATCTAGGAATTGTTGCTCATTTTATACATTTGTAAAGTTGATATTTTCAAAAATTAATTTACTCTGAGTGATTTTAAGAAAAGGATTTACTATAAGGAAAGCACATACTTATAATTCAAATTATTGTGGCTTTATAGATAAGGACAAACTATCTATTTATATCATTATAACAATAACAATGTATTATTCACGTATTATTAAGTGCGAACAAGTTTTTGTCGGGATTTTAACTTTTACTAGTTTCATTGAGATGAAAAGTAACTTGAAAGATGTCATAAAAATCCTGTTTCGAAGCAAGTTTTCAATCGTGTGTTTCTAACGTTTTTTTTAAATTTATCACTACCATTAATAAGCAGCATAAGAACTATATTTAGATTTTGGGGGTTATAGATTTGAAGGTCTAAAGTATATGTTGGATATCTTTTAACCCTATCCCTGCTGGGGTACTTGAAAACCAGGATACGCTGGGGGGGGGGGTCAATTTGACCCCCCCTCTAAATCCCATGTTTTATGTCCAAATATGACAAATGATACATCATTAGAAAGCTCTTCTCAAATTCCCATTTTGTATTGACTAGGGAAAAAATTCTAAATGTTTTGGTTTGCAATGATCATATTCAAAAATATTTTACACAGTTGCTTACCCTCCTCAGAAGAAGAGAACGGACCTCTCTCATAGCGGTCCCCGCTTTACAGTTTAGGGGAGCGCCACGTTTTCAGGGGAGTAGCGAATGAGAATAAAACAAAACTCCATCTTCAGTCTGGTGCAGCTGAAAGAAGGAGTTTAGCCCCTGATGGGTATGCAAGCCATGCACAACTACTTTCACTTGACCAGCTGTGAGGACTGGACTGTTGTGGATGATTTCTCTCAATGGGGCTTTAAGGCTTACAACTCCCCCATTTTGCATAAGGGGTGAAGCTATCAGTTTTCTTAAAAAACCCTTAGTCAGAAAGACTATAATACAAAGGAAAACAGTGAGCAATCTCATATACTCTTCCTTCTACAAACCGTCTTATCTCTCTCCTACCTTCTATACAACTTGATGTCAAAAGAACTATTTGAAGAGTCCTCAAAGTGTAAAAACAAGAAAAAAGAAGCAAGAAGAAAAAAGAATATTGAACAGAAAAATTGGAATGGAATTTCTTGATATTAGAAGACTTTCCCCCCATCTACGCTGGGGAGGGGAGGGGGTGAGACAATTGCTCTTCCCCCCACAAGAATATGTATCAGGAATTGGTGTTTTGCTTAGTCCAAAAAAAGCAAGATCCTCTCAGCTAGTTCAATTCATTACAGAGTTCAGAAAAAAGGAAAGATTCTCTAAAAATAGTTCTTTCTTGTAGAGTGGTGTACAACAAGGATATCCAAAAAAAAATCTTTCATTTTTTTCAAAATTAGCCAAAATATAATTGAAAGATGTATGAACAAGAAGAAAATGAAGAACAAGAAATATAGAAATCTCAATATATTTTCATCTGATATCATATAAATATTTAAAAATATTGTAAAACTTGATTAAAATAAATTATCAAAGTTAAAAAATATTTTACAAACTTCTCAGCTTCATATGTTATTTTTATATTTTCAGTTTAAAAATAACCAATTAGGACAGAATGATCAAATTGTAAAATATGTTTTATTTAGTCCTGGTAGCATCCTGTCAAATCCTTCAGTGCCCTCATCCAGACTTTTTATCAAGGTTGGATTAAATACTTCTTTTTATATATCTCAAAAAGCTGAATCTTTAGAGCTACAGAGATAGAGATAATTTTAAATCATATTAATGATTACTGAGGAGGCTAAATGTTAGAACCATTTCTTTATTTACCGGTTTATTTGAAAATATTCTGCTCCAACATATATTGTACTAACACGACTTGAAGTTGAAATATAAGTGAGTTTAATGTGTAATTTAGATAGGGCCGGGGTTTAAAACTAGATCTTTACTTAGTGTTGTTCATCGCATTGTATCATTTAAAAATAATAAGACTACCAATATTTCAATATGTTAAAGTTGCATTTATTAAACTTTACAAAATCTTTATCCTAATAAGAGAAAAATAGAAAAACGTTCCAAAAACGATCGTTACAACAATTCGTTTTTCATCGTTTTTGGATCGTCTTTGAGTTGTTTTTTTGCATATATCATCTTTCAAGGTAAAAATTTTCGTAATGTAAGCAAAACAAATGTTTTAAATAATATAATTCTAAAAAAATTTCTTTTTTTGCACTATGCAAAATCTTGACCCTGAAAGAAAATGTCCGCAAAAAACGAGCCAAAACGGAACAACTGAAGGCATATTACAAATTGTACTGAATGCAGTACTTTTATCACTCCAACCACAACATTTGAAATAGGTTTAGGATAAAAGAGATTATTTTCATTCCTCTCAGTAACTGCAGAATACTTTTTGCATAAAGAAATCAGTTCAAAACTAGATTTACTATTCCATGGAAGGAACAGAGTTTTGCTACAAACTAAATTGTGTAAACACTTTATCTTGGCAACCTGATGGTGTAAACCTTAGAAATTTCAAACTTAGATTATTTGATCTATCAGAATTCATAGTATGAACTATCAAAGGTATTCGACATTGGGTTTAAAAAATTTAGGGATTTAAAATCAATGTTTATGACAAGAACTCAATTCATTTGGACCAATTTTATACAGAGACGTAAGGAAATCTTTATGGCATTTTAAACCAATTCTTTGGATTTTAATTATGTTTTTTAAAGTTTTAAAGTCTTGTTGAAAGCTTTGTGTGAGTAGAATGCATGATTGTGAATATTTATAGGAATGTTTGTGAAACATGCAGAAGCGAGTTCCAGGTATATTTTCCTAACCCATTGGACAAGTGAGTTCCAGGTATATTTTCCTAACCTATTGGACAAGTGAGTTCCAGGTATATTTTCTTAACCTATTAATCTTATTTTAAATACTTTTACAACATTGAATTCTGATCTGTTGAATCTGATAAACGGTTGTAAAAAACTAATTTTCTTCAAAATTATCATTCTTTTTGTTAAAAAAATGCCGTAAGTACAGGTGATACCGCAAGGTTTAAAAAAGTTTAAAAGGTAGACATGTGGATCGTAATACTCTTTAAAGGCACTGTAAGCATAGTTTCAAATGACACCTCATGCATGCGGCACCCTTGAAACCTTCATCTAATCAATAATGTGGAAGAAATTGTCGTTTTTCTAGGTTTAAAGGTGTTTAATTCCGATAATTCCAAAAAATTTTCTTACAGTAGTAATGCCATAAGTTGTAGAGAACCAAAAATGGAAAATAATCTGTTTTCAAAATTATTAACATCAATACCTAATGATATCTTCGCATGGAGGCTCACTTTTAATTACTTTTTTAATGTAAGATTTCACGTACAGTTAAGTTAAGCATATACATATGGAAAATAGTAAACAAAAATTCAGACTTAATTTAAATCTACACGTGTCAGCCAAACTTATCTTTTTGTTTATACTAAACTGATCTGCATCAAAAAAACGTAGAATACTGTAATAAAAATAGATACAATTTGTTAGAATTTACTCTAGGTAGTTGAGTTTCTAAAGCAGAAGGGAGAAACGGGAATAATTTCGGTATTTGGACCACCTTTCTCAAACCATGCTCCGTTCTTCAGACCTACTGGATTCGAACCCAGGTTTAATACTTTTACTCAAACCATGCTCCATTCTTCAGACCTACTGGATTTGAACCCAGGTTTAATACTTTTATACAAACCATGCTCCATTCTTTAGACCTACTGGATTCGAACCCAGGTTAATACCCTTACTCAATTCATACTCCATTCTTCAGATCTTCTGAATTCGAATCGAGATTTAATAGCCTATCTAAAACCATGCTCTATTCCTCAGACCTACTGGATTTGAACCCATGGTTAATACCCTAACTCAAACTATGCTCCATTCTTCAGACCTACTGGATTCGAATCCAGGTTTAATACCCTTTCTAAAACCATGCTCTATTCTTCAGACCTACTGGATTTGAACCCAGGTTTAATACCCTAATTCAAACCATTCTCCATACTTCAGTCCTTCTTAATTCGAACCCAGAGTTAATACCATGCTTTATTCTTCTGACCTTCTGCTCTATTCTAAAGGCCTAAATACCCTTACTCAAACCATGCTTCATACTTCAGACCAACTGGATTCCAACCCAGGTTTTATACCCTTTCTCAAACCATGTTTTATTCTACTGACCTTCTGATTCGAATCCAGGTTTGACACCCTTACTTAAACCATGATCCATTCTTTAGATCTATTGAATTTAAACCCAGGTTTTAAACCCTTCTGTTTAAAACCTAGATTATATATATCCTTATTTATACTATTTTTCAGACCTAAATACCTTCTTTTAATTTTCCAAACCTGACATTCCTTTAAATTATTGTGATGCTCATAGAAAGAGTTTATAAATATATATTGTTTACAGTGATCCTTGTTTAAACAGACAACCAAGGACTGCTTATACTTGCAACATGAAGAACAAGAGACCTTACTGTTTTAAGGTAATCAATCAAAAAGAATAATTACTTTAAATGATCAGTTTCTCAACGAATTTTTTAAGTGATCCAAATAAAATCACATTAAATTCGACAAACAGTGGGTTTTGTTTACAAAGTTGTTGTCCCTAGTGGATAATATTTGATAAATAATGAGACTTCAAAGAGAACTGTTCTGAAATCATGAAGACTAAAATCAACTTTCATGTCGTTTTATTCTAATAGTTTTAGGTTGGCATTAAAGTACTTTGTTTGCAATCATTTATCCTTATTTAAGGTTGGGTTCTACTGCTATGGTTCTCATAGTACATTGACCGGTCAACTCAATTCAGGTAATTTAAAGGGACTGTAAACATAATTTTAAGTGACTGTCTATGGAAACCGCTTTTAATATAAATTATTTGTTAATGTCAAGAAACACATGTAACGCATCAGCTGTGTTGAGTTCACACTATACACAGCGTACACCGCGGTTTACAAGAATTCAAGTGGTTTTCAAGAGATTTACTCGATGAACAGTCAAAGGGTTGAAGGGTACCGTTGTAAATCGGGCATTGTCCTCTGTGCATGGAGGGACAATTGAAATTACGCTTACACTCCCTTTAAAAGTTGAAGAAACACCAAACCAAACCTAAGAAACCCTGGAAAGTAAAATTCTGTTTAACGTTTAGGGGACTTTATAATATAATCTTAAAGGGAGTGCTCCGTAAAATCGAAAGGTTGGTCAATAAAATGCATTAGATCGGCCCCATATTAAGATATACTACCTGATATTTCTAAAAAAAAACAAGATAAAAATACAACCGTTTCCCGGTGGAACAAGAAACTCAATAAGTGTGATAAATACAGAGCTAATTCTCTAGTTATATAACCGAAAATCATGGTTTTAACATAACGAATAGTTTTTCGGCCTCACTTAAAAAAACGATCACCAAACATTCCATCGACAATCTCTGTCGTAAAATAGTTAAATCATTCAGATGAAGTTTTAATTAAAGATTGTGTTTAATTTTATCTTATCAAGAATCCTGAATCATTGTTTATGTTTGATTTTATCTTTTGTTTAGAATATATTCATTGTTTGGATAACTTTACCTGGGAAAGGTGAGTAATTTAAACATTTTTACAATTAATTAAACTTTCTTCTAGAATTGTATATTTTCAGACAACACCAGATGGACGATTTTGATACAAATAGACAGAGTAACCCCGAGATTCAATAGATCCTGGACACTAGTCGAAATAATAAATAAGAAGGGTTTTAATCTTAGTTTTAAATTAGACTAGGTCTTTGACTTAAAAAAAGAATACATAGCAATTATTAATGTTATTAATAAGTGTAGATTCTGGAGTAAAACTGCTGTAGTTTCTAGAACTATACTCTGGTAGAACCTGGAGATATATACCTAGAACTATACTCTGGTAGAACCTGGAGATATATACCGCTGTAGTTTCAAGAACTATACTCTGGTAGAACCTGGAGATATATACCGCTGTAGTTTCTAGAACTATACTCTGGTAGAACCTGGAGATATATACCGCTGTAGTTTCAAGAACTATACTCTGGTAGAACCTGGATATACATACTGCTGTAGTTTCTAGAACTATACTCCAGTAGAACCTAGAGATATAGTGCTGTAGTTTCTAGAACTATAATCTAATAGAACCTGGATATATACTGAAATACTTGAAATCGTCTTTGATTTCCGATATTTCATTAAATGACAAAAAGATTGTTTTTTTTTCTGAGCTCTTTTATCTTTAAAACTGACGGAGATATCAAATATTTGAACATTATTGAATAAAAGGAAATCTGGGCAGGTTTCTCGATATCTCCGTCAATTTTCAAGGTTCGAAAATGGTAGACCACATTTCGGAATTCCCGAGACTAGCAGTTTCATATGTTAATTGTTTTTAATGGGATATGTCACCGCACGGAACAAAGACGATATTAAAGTGGTCACTTAATTCCCATGTTTATGTACGTGTACGTATACCGTTATAGTTTAGTTTCTTCAGCTATAACTCGAGTAGAGTCTGGAGATTAATCTGAATCCAAATTTAACGAATTTGAGCCGCGTCTCAAATCCACACAAAACCGGTTTCAATTAAGCGCTTACTTAGATCTTGAAACATTGAATACAATTTTAAGTGGAACCAACCATATTTGAGTCGCGTCTCAAATTTAAGCCGCAGCTCAAATTCTTTAAATTAGGCCTCTGATTGTCTTTTAAAAACCTCCCTCAAAACAAGGATGTAAGGCACCTCAAAAGCTGGAGAAAAGTTTTTTGAACATTTATTATTTTCATGATTTTAACTGGAAAATATAAAAAGATAAAGGTATTAAGGAATGTACAGGGAATAGTTTACAATTTGCTATTTTATCACGTAGCAGAGCAGAGCCTCAAACTAAAGAAATTGGTATATCCTCAAAACCTAGTTTTGATAATATTTTTCGAATATTATTGAACTGAAGGTTACTCACATTTCCGGTATTTTCTAATTGTTTGATATTAAATCTAAACAAATGTGTTGTCACTGGAAAAGGTTTCTGAAAAAAACCCCAAAACTGGCTCAAATAGAGGCTGTATAATGTTACAACATGCAAATTATATTATTACAAGAATATAGATAAAGTTCAAATCTACACCATCCCTCTAATTTGTTGCACCAAGCGAATTCTTAACTTTTCAGCCTGAGTCATGATATCTAGACTGGAGACTGGAGAGAGGAGTCCTGGTATCTAGACTGGAGACTGGAGAGAGGAGTCCTGGTATCTAGACTGGACACTGGAGAGAGGAGTCCTGGTATCTAGACTGGACACTGGAGAGAGGAGTCCTGATATCTAGACTGGAGACTGGAGAGAGGAGTCCTAGTATCTAGACTGGATATTGGAGAGAGGAGTCCTTGTATCTAGACTGGAGATTGGAGAGAGGAGTCCTTGTATCTAGACTGGAGACTGGAGAGAGGAGTCCTGATATCTAGACTGGACACTGGAGAGAGGAGTCCTGATATCTAGACTGGAGACTGGAGAGAAAAGTCCCGATATCTAGACTGGAGGTTGGAGAGAGGAATCCTTGTATCTAGACTGGAGACTGGAGAGAGGAGTCCTGGTATGTTGACTGGAGACTGGAGAGAGGCGTCCTGATATCTAGACTTGAGACTGGAGAGAGGAGTCCTTGTATCTAGACTGGAGATTGGAGAGAGGAGTCATGATATCTAGACTGGAGACTGGAGACTGAAGACTGGAGACCAGAGAGATGTTGAGGGAAGAATATAAAGTGATTTTTAGAAAACTTCTTTGATGGTGAGAATACAAGAAAACTTTAAACACAAAAATCAAGTTTGTTTATGAAGATTAGATACTCTGGATGCGCGCCAATGTACTAGAAATGGGTCTTCCTAGTAATGGACACTCAAAATTCTCATATTATATAACTGATTACTGGCGGAAGATGAAGTGACAACGTTGCTGGTGAGAGGGGGAGAAGGATTTTCTCCACTTTTTACAGCTGACATCGGAGAAAATCTTTCCCCCCCCTCTCATCAGCAACGTTGTCACTTCATATTCTCCCTATAAACAGAATTAAGTCTTTTAAAGATTTTCAGTGTTTATTGCTATGAAGACGACAATTATAGTGCATGGGAGCACATACAGAGTATCTAATCTTAATAAACAACCTTGCCAAAAATACAATTATTAAACAACGTAAATCTAGTATTTATGAAAAGACGATAAAAGTAAGAATATGATGGAAAAATATTTCAGGTTTGCCAATTTTTTAACTGCACATGAATATAATTATCAATTAACAATTGTCTGAAATAATAATAATAATAATCAATGTTGATAAATGCCATGATATGAAATATTAGATTGATTTTAACAATTTTTTATGCGATTGAACAAGAAGCCGTATAAACATGAAATCATGGGTTTATTGACGAAATCTCTCCGTAGCACAAGTATACAAAGAAGAGATAAGATTTGTTACTCCTGTATCTTTAGGTTTCTCCAGTCCTCGCTTTAATTTGTTTCTCATCACTGATATAAATTCTTTTTTACTCAGTGCTCCGTCTCCGTCCTAAACAGTTCTAAATCAAGGAAATATAAAGACAACTTTTGCAAATATATTAATGTACATTGTTCTGATGTACCATCTCTAAAGGTAGAATTAAAATTGGTACTGATCTAATGCTTCTGAGCATTTTAAATTTGGTCAGTATTTTACTGACCAAAGTTTCTCAGGTTTGGTTTGGTGTTTCTTCAAGAAAGTGTCTAGGCATAATTATAAGTGACCCTCAATGTCAATGTCAGTGTCCGATTTACAAAGATACCCTTGAAAGCTTTGTCTGATTAAGTTTGCATTAGATATCATCCTCATGTTCATTCAATCCGTTTATTTTCAGTTGTGGTTTCTCTTCAAAAGTGACAAGTGCCTTTTTTGCTTATAATACATAATGAAGAAATTCACAGAAATAAACACTTTTCGAGTTATAAAAACGACGTTATCTTCCACATTTTTGATAAGATTAAGGGTATCGTTGTATTACGCTTACAGTCCCTTTAAGGAAAACAACAAATTTCAAAATACGCGATCTTCTATTTGTCCATGTTCATTGGATGAACCCGGCTCAAACTGAATCAAACTAAAAAATTGGCTCAGTTTCAATTTCCTCTATTATATGCTATAATTGCATTTGCCATGGATACTAACTACAAATAATTTTAATGACGACATAAAACTCCTGAAATATAACAATTTAACGATGAATTTGGGTTTCAGCCCTGAGTAGTGAATATAGTCTTTCAATGGTATAATTACATTGGGTTTCAGCCCTGAGTAGTGAATATAGTCTTTCAATGGTATAATTACATGAGTTGGTAAAGAAAATACAAGTTTACGGTTGTAAAGAAAGAACTATATACATCTAAGGAAAAAAAGTTATTTTTTTAAATTAAGATTTAAAAATAAATATATTTAAAAAATCTAAGAAAAAAGAGTGAATTAATTCTGTACAATCGGCTCTGAAATTTCATACTTTGTGGGTAACCCTGTATATCATATCTATCTATTATTGTAAATGTAACCATTATTGCAAATGTAATTTATGGAAAATGTTACTAATGGGGAACGTATCTAGGCAAGTTTACTGATGTCAGACGTATTAAGGCAGTGGAGACTGAGTGATAAAATCTGTTTGTGGCATTTTTAATTATATTTTACTATTTCTACTTTACACGTATTAAACCTTTATTAAACCTAGTATAAAATATAAAACCAACAGTAAATTTAGCAATTAACTCCAATTCTTTGTCAAGAGTGAAATTTAGACTCTATTTTCAAGGGGAGTCTAACTAAACAATGAAAAAATGACTTTAATGGGATTGCTAACCTTTTTCTTGTTATGATCAATGCTTGTATTATATCCAAAGAATTTGAGTTTTTGCCACAAACTCTGATTTTCTAATTCCTATAACTTTGCAACCCGTTTTCAAGACCTTCGATATTTCAAATATTTCGATAATTCTGTTAGATCAAATAGTCAAAGTTTGAAATTTCAAAGGTTTACACCATAAGGTTGCAAAGATATAGGGGTTAGAAAATGTGAGTTTGTGGCAAAAACTCAATTCCTTTCGGGTGAATCAAGGAACAGATCTAAGTCTATCTTACCGCGCAATGACCCAGAGTTATCATAATGTTTAGCGAAAATGTTCATTACACTTCTCCTTGTAGGGTCGTAGACATATAGCCTTCAATTTCACAGTGTATTCTTTACATTTTTACATTACTGTGGGTAATGTACTTTAAGAGGCATTAAGCTGCAACCAGAAAAATTATAAATTAAGGAGATTTTTTATACTTTTATACTGTATTTTTTATACTTTTTATTATAAAATGTCGCTGAAGATTTTTGTGGTTTGGAACTCAACTTTTTCTAAAAAGATGCCATAATTATTTTTAGAGATGTATCACTATCAGTTGCATTGCTTGACAATTGCAAATTACAAAGTGAAGACCGACATTTCTTAATTAAAAGGAAGGAACAAAGACGACTTTCATTCCACGGTTTTTTGTTCTTATTGTATTGTATATCTTGTAACTGTATTGTATACCTCGTCGAAGATGGCAAACAGAACTCGTACAACATGTTCAGATAAATCAACATTGGCACAAACCTAAATAATGAATACGTTGAACAGTGTTAACGAATTTGAAAAAAGCAGCCTAGGTTGTCGTCTTCCATCATCAATCAACAAATAACAAGAGGATAGAGTAGAGAATTATACGCAGTAACACTGCGCATAAATTTACACACATCGTGGAGCCATTATCATCGTGTTATAGGGGAAATACAGCCGCCCACCCTCCTCCCATTCTCTATGTCTATCATTCAGAAGAGGGTTTAACACCCTCTCTTCTCTCTGGGTCCTCAAGGGAGCTGACAACAGGGCCGGTCAACCAAACTGACCGGCCCTGGATGGCCGCTCAAGGTGAAGGTCTTAAAGGTTGACCGTGCCAGCCAGGCCGGTCTTAAAAAGACAGACAAGAATTGAGGATCCCAGGAGATATTACACTGACAAGCTAATGCTATGGATACAAACATACGCTCCAGTAAAGAAAGCATTGTCAGAGTTCAAGACTTCAATAATTTTGGTGTTGTACCATGTGGAACTGGGAGAGCGTGTTTACAGTTTATGCCTAAGGTACTGCAAAAAGAAAGCGATATTCAGGAAGTACTAGATCATCAGCTGTGTAACCTAAGAACAATAAACACAGATCCCAGAGCAGCTTCACATGATATGGCAGGGTTGACAAGCTCATTTAATTTTGACTCAGAGGAAAGAAACACAAAATCAAATGAAATGTGGAGAACAGGGAAAGTTCTTATAGAGGTAAACGCGATGCCTGGGTTAGTATCTGATGAATCAGATAGAGAGGAAAGTTATGGAGGTCTCCATGCAATGCAGCCCAATAATAGCTGTTTTTACTGCAAATGTACTGGTCACACGAAGAGAGACTGTAGGAAGTTTGAAGAGTGAGGTCAAAGGAATCCAGTGCAATTTGCAGAATGGCATAAGAAAAATCCAGACAAGAGGAACGAGAGTTACAAGCAACCCGGAAATAACATCAGGAGAAATGATAATTTTTCCTGTTATAATTGTGGAAAAATAGGAAATTAATCACGAGACTGCAGAGAGAAACAGAGTAACAGAAGAGGAGGCGACAGCTGGCAACTCCAGAAATGAAGAAATTTAATTTTGTAAATAGTGATATTAATGAACTAATAAACGTTTCAAATCTTGTAAATGTCCGAGCTATTAATGACAAGTTAACAGAGTACTTTAAGCCGCAGAGCAAGTGAGAAGAGGAAGTGATTAGTTTAGAGGAAAAGTTAATGGCAAACTTGAACAGTATGGAAAAGTTAAAAAAAGACAACCACAAAACCTCATACGTGAAATATAAGGTACACAAGCTTGAAACTTATGGATTAGCATTTGTCGATACTGGGAATCTAGTGACGAGTACTTTAGTGTCCAAAGAATTCTGGGAAGCAATAGGAGGAAAATGTCAGGAGCAAGCAACGTTAGGATAGGAACAGTGGAAAAAGGAGGAAAGGACTTAAAGCATTAGGGACAGAAGAAAAGTTCAAATTCTGTCTTTGCATGCCATAGTGATAGAAGGATTAAATCATGCAGTAAATTTGGAATAAGAATTCTTAAAATGCAATACGAAGTAAATTTTTCATATGTGAAACAAGAAGCAAAATTAATAATTTGGAAAGGAAGTCAAAAAAGATTAACCAGGTTATGTAGTGCCAAAGGATCCCTGTTTCCGTTTATACACAAGGGAAAGAGGACAGATAAGACAGGGAAGAATTACATGCAAGTAATCCCAATTCTTACTGGCATGCAAAAAAACAAATCCCGGACGGTCAACCATATTCCAGAACCAGAATTAATATAGGATTCAGAATCAATATCAGAACCGGAAGTAATACAGGAATCAGAAGTGAAACTGGAACTGGAAGTAAGAGAGAGAAAACTGTGGTCAGGGGAGAAAGTGTCCATTCCTGCAGGAAGTGCAAAACTAGTGAAAGTCAGAATAGAAGTGGATTGGAGGGGAGGGGGTTTTGTAGAATCCATGCTACCAGAGGAACAAGACCATGGAAGAAAATTAGTGCTTCCGAAAACCATCTATAATATATCAGGCAAGGAACTGGTTTTCTCTGTGGAGAACTAAACTGAAGAGGAAGTAGACATATGTCAACATCAGAGATTAGGGACAACTGAGAGCTTATAGACATCGATAAAAGTGCCTGGCTTAAAGAAGAGTTAAGAGGAAGTCATGAACCGGAAGTGGGAAAAGATGATGGTGAAAAATTATCAAGGAATGTTAATTCAGACTATCCTACAGAAGAGAGTAAGAAGAAATTCATTCGTGAAAGCGTCAAGATAGATGAGAACGAGATATTAAACAAAGATGAAAAATTGAAGGAGGAAGTGATAAAAATGTTTCAAGACAATTTTTCGGCTCTGGTGTTAAATAACAATCATTATGGGAAAACAGATCTAGTAAAGTTAAAGATAGATCTAGAACCAGGAACAGTTCCCAAGAGATCCAAAGTGAGTCCGTTGAACCCAGACCAGAAAAGAAACTTGATCGATAGACGAGTTGATAGAGCAAGGTGTCATCGAACCTGCTAATAGTACGTGGGCTTTACCATTAGTTCCTTTTAAGAAGAAAGATGGTAGGACAAGATGGGTGACAAATCTAAGGCTTTTAAATTTTGAATCAACCCAAACGATGCAGATATGACGTCAATTGCAGCTGTTAGGTTAATGCAACTGCAAGAAAGAGAATGGAAAACAAACTCCCATTATCCAGGAACCATTGGACCTGGCCTGTATAGTGAGGATGTTTATGCGCTAGGTATTTGCAGCAGATATAGAAGAATTGCTACATGGAGCAGAGTATCAGGTTTAATAGATGAACCAGCCAGGTGGTTGCAAGTTACCTTGGCTACATGGAGCAGAGTATCAGGTTTAAAAGATGAACCAGCCAGGTGGTTGCAGGTTACCTCAGTTACATGGAGCAGAGTATCAGGTTTAATAGATGAACCAGCCAGGTGGTTGCAAGTTACCTTGGCTACATGGAGCAGAATATCAGGTTTAAAAGATGAACCAGCCAGGTGGTTGCAGGTTACCTCAGCTACATGGAGCAGACTATCAGGTTTAATAGATGAACCAGCAAGGTGGTGCAGGTTACCTTAGCTACATGGAGCAGAGTATCAGGTTTAATAGATGAACCAGCAAGATGGTGGTAGGTTAGAGCTTTATCTATATCTTCTATATGAACTAGAACTTGGAAGATTTTCATATAATCATCCACAGATATACCGATACCATCTTCCTAAATGTAAACATTTAACTGTACTGTGGTAACCAGAAATCAGTGGAGTATTTTCGTCTTCTGTTTTTTCTAAATGAAATGTCTTTAAGTATTTCGTAATTTGTAACTAAACTATTAAAAAATTATGCCCTCAACATTTTCAGGAAGATAACTACAGTTATAACAATTGTAAATTTCAAACTTTTTAGCAAAACCAATTCAAAAATTCTTCAACTCCTGTACTAGTACAAGATCTTTCCAATGCATTGTGATTTTACTATATATATTATATATGACATCTTAAATTAACTATAAAATTATAAAACTATAATTTTACTCTGGGTTTGAAGATTATAAATGTAATCACAGAAAAATTTAAACCCAGAGGGTGAAGGGTTCGCATGTTTAGAATATTCGAAACATCCAAGCAACAAATACATTTAATATTTACATTCAAAACTTTAAACTTTCAAAGATTCTTAAGATAATTCTAAACCAACTGAATTTGAAATAGTTTTAAGAGCAAAGATTTAACATAATTTTTTCAAAGATTACAAAAATCGAAATATTGAGAAAATGTTTAACATAAGAGTAAAGGTTTAACGCAAGGTTGCAGACATTACAATATTCGAAATATTGAGAAAATGTTTAACATAAGAGTAAAGGTTTAACGTAAGGTTGCAGACATTACAATATTCGAAATATTGAGAATAAAATTTCATATTATGTAATTAAAAAGATATTTTATAGATTCTGGTTTAATGAATTAGGGTATTGGATTTTGTATTGAAAAGACAGGAAAAAGTGTATAAAAAATTGTCAATACTTTAAGAAAAAACACCTAAAAATTAGATCGTTATTATTATTTAAACAGGAATACCACAATTTAAAATCAATTATTGATATTTTTATTTATGTTAAGAAAAAAGGTTTTAAAGGTACCGTTGTGAATCGTACTTATCACTCTATAAATTGTCTGTAATATTAAGCATTTTAAACTAAAAGTTTTCAGGTTTACCTTGAATAATTTTTTTATTCGTTTGAGAACTATAGTTCGTTTTCTTGGAGAATAATCAGCATAGGTTAATAGAAGTTCGGCAAACTGTTTCTCAGAGATAAAGCCGTCCTCGTTCGGTTCCTTTCGTTCAAACTCCAGCCTCAGGATTTCACTCTGTAACCTAGAAATAATATTCATAATTTTCTGTAGAGTTAGTGTTTTTCTGCACCAGGGAAATATTTCTAGAGAATTGATTTCGAGTTGTAAAAATATAATGAGTTGGTTCTTAATAATTTAATAATTAAATAATTATTTTCTCCACTTTTTGTTGTTTTTCAATCACCATTGCTTTACTTTGTTTGACAGTTAACTGAAAAAGACCAGAGAAAAGATTTTGTTATTATATTAATATTTAACTCACTTTGACACATTGAATGTTCTTGAAACTATGAACTTCAAGTACAAAGTTGAATTTAATCTACATGAAAACTAATTAACTAAAAATAATTATTTTATTTCCATGAAAATTAAATGCAGCCTAGTTCAACTTTATGAAGACTTGCAACAAGTATCCAGCAAATTAAACTAATATTGTTTATTGTTTAAAAACCCTGTAGTAAACAAAAATAATACTAACTCGTCTTGAAATTCTAGAAACTGATCGATTGTAAGTTTTCCGTCCCCCTTGTCTCCGAAGAAGTGTACAAGTATAGCTGACTGATGACCGGAGTGTCCGCTTTGCCCGGCGTGCCCGCTGTGCCCGGTATGACCTTGATGTCCTGGTCCTTCCTTGTGCCTCCCTGCCCAGGATGTACCGGCCCGAAGTATACTCTGAACCTTAAGAAGACTGTTAACGTGATTTAAAGTCACTTTCCTTTAAAGTCACTTTCATCAATATCATATTTCATATTTTTATTCAACTACAAAGCACGAGATAATACAAATAAAAAAATCACATATATAAAGAAATATCAACTTTATACGAATGCGTTGAAAAAAAATCGATGATTATAGGTTGTAATATCTGAAGGTTTTGTTTGGAATTAAATTTTTTTTTTACGATCCGAGTTGAATATTTTAACTTTCTGAATTTGTATGGACGCAACAGAAAGATTAGTAGCGATCACCATCAATTTTCGACGTAAGCCTATATATACCCACTTAAACTTTTCTCGAACACTCCCTTTCGATTAGAAAGAAATACCTAAAATTGTACGTATTTGTTTCGTGATTCTTTGATTTTCTCTCATTTTCCTTTCGTACAAATTAAAGCACAGAAGATATTTTATAAAAGAAGAATGAACTTGAAATAAGGATGCGAAAAAATAGAGTTGTTTTTAATATAAAAATTCAAAAAAGTATGAAAAAAGAAATGCAGTACGGAAGTTTAAGGATTATAGTAGCTACAGTTCCTCTACTGTTAAGTGTTTTTTAGAACTTAGGTATTCAGGTAATTAGGTATTCGGGTATTGATCCCATTAAGGATCAGAGTGGTTAATGGAGAAAATTGACATAACAAATAATGGAAGAGAGAGGAGCAGTAAAGTATAAAGTACTAATGCCTGGGATACAATGGGAATGGATATTGAAGTCAAACCTTATAGAAATCCAACGTATAGAAACCGCTACGTATAGCAACAAAGCGTATTTTCCGGGAGAACATTTTTTATATTTTTGGGAAATTAAATAATCAGTGTAAAGGTGATATAGTTTTCATAAAATCCTTTAATTTAAATGGTAAAACGGAATTTTATGAAATCATATTAGCATTTCTGGAGACCTTTTTTATACTTTTAAGAATTTTTTTCTTCTAAAAATTAAACTGTAGATAGCAATTTTATAAAATATTGTTTTTAATATTAACATGCAATTTTATGTATAACCATATAATCATTCATTTATGTCAGTACATAATAAAATCTGAAAGGACCTTAAACACAATAGAGAACAGTACAAATGTACATATTGAACTATTTTGCTCCTTTAATGTCTAGGGTATCATAAAAAAACTTTAATTTATCAAAAATATAAAAAATGTTCTCCCGGAAAATACGCTTTGTTGCTATACGTAGCTGTTTCTATACGCTGGATTTCTATAAGGTTTGACTTCATGATTATTAAGCACGTCAAACTAAAGTAAATTACACGCTATACTCCTCCTAATGAAGAGATATTGAGAAGAACAAACATGATTTTAAGTTCTAATATGTTGCCGCGGATATATTTGCTTTGTATCATGCTTGTGTTGTAAAGGGAGGAGCTACAAGATCACAAAGGTGAACCAGTTATGTCAGATAAATTCCACCTTCTCCTTCTGTCTAGTTCCCACTGTAAGATAGAAAATGATGACTATATCTCCACCATGATAATATACCTGAAAGCAATCTCAAACTGTCTTCTGCTGGTGGAGAGGATGGTGAGCAGGAAAATATAATCAGAGAAAGAGATTAAACCTCGAGAACTCAGCTTCCTGTAGTATACAAGCTTAACAATAGGTGTCTCTTTTATATCATTTGTTTTATAATGAAATATTGCAAAGGTTTGTAAGAATTTTTTATAAAACACCCAAATTTCCTAATGTTAAGGCAATCATTGATAAAACCGACCATTAAGTGGGATTTCTTATATATCATTTGTTTTTTTTTGTGTGTGATGTTTGTTATAAAATCTAACACGATGTCATGTTCGGTGCTACTGCTGACTGTTGCAAACTTTGAAATATTTAGGTTCTTTGTAAAAACTATGTGTTCCAATTTAAAAAAAGAAATTTTGTTTTAAAACATAACATATTTAAGCAATTGAACGACTGCTTGTTTTTATTTGATTGTCTTTCTTTGGACACATTAAAACAAAAGCTTTTTATCTGTAATGGAGTATCCCTAAATAACTCTTGATATATAATTTCTATGATACCATTTATGAGTATTAAACATGAGTTTACTCTAACGAATTACTTGATGGTTTGCTATCACACGGACAACATTTTTAATTTTATGACGTCAAGATTTTCTAACTTAAACTCTGTTTACGAGTCCTCAGACTAGACTACAGTAAGAACCAGAAGACCGTGGAATAATAAGACGACATAAAAGCAATAATTAGTGTATTTAATGTTGTTAAAAAGCAAATAGTGATATTAGTAACTTATTAAATCATTTGTCAAATTAAATGGGCCTGTTTACACTGCACAATTGCTGTGTTTCAAGTTCATTAAACTTCAGTCTAAAAGTCGTCTTCCTATTTTTATGGTTCTCACTGTATATGGTTTATAGTTGAAGAAACAAAGACCTAAAAATACTGGTTTCATGAAACTCAATTTCTGAATTCTCCTTCTCATGTCGATCCTCAGAATACTTCCTAAAAATAAAAATGTTTCGTTTCGTTTGTGGTCAGACAGAAAAAAATTTAATAATTTTGAATATTTTTAACTATCTACCAATCAGATGCCAAACTTATCTACTTTCTGCTATGGAAATATTATGGGAATACGAGCCACCTTTTTCTTTTAAACGAATTTCGCTCTAAATCCCTTAAAAATTAAAATCCACTGTGTATAGTGAGTTCAATTTAGGCATTGTATAGATTAGTGCTTAATCATACAAAAATTAAATCCGTTTGATGAATAAAAGTCAAAGAAATCTTGCTTGAAATAAAAATTTTAATAAAATTCCGACCTTTCTGTTCAGAATAATAAATATTCACATCTGCGAATAATAATTTTTTCCACGCTTAGGATTCTAATGGAGAAGGAATAGTAATATATTCTGTACTGGAGTAGGAGTAATAATCTATTCTGTACTTGAGTAGGAATAGTAATCTATCCTGTATTGGGGTAGGAATAGTAATCTGTTCTATAATGGGGTAGGAATAGTAATCTATTCTGTACTGGGGTAGGAATAGTAATATATTCTGTACTGGGTAGGAATAGTAATCTGTTCTGTGCTGGAGTAGGAAAAGTAATCTATTCTGTACTGGGGTAGGAATAGTAATCTATTCTGTACTGGGGTAGGAATAGTAATCTATTCTGTACTGGAGTAGGAATAGTAATCTATTTTGTACTGAATAGGAGTAGTAATCTATTCTGTACTGGAGTAGGAGTAATAATCTGTTCTGTACTGGAGTAAGAGAAGTAATCTGTTCTGTACTGAAGTAGGAGTAGTAATCTATTCTGTACTGAATAGGAGTAGTAATCTATTCTGTACTGAAGTAGGAGTAATAATCTGTTCTGTACTGGAGTAAGAGAAGTAATCTGTTCTGGACTGGAGTAGGAGTAGTAATCTATTCTGTACTGGAGTAGGAGTAGTAATCTATTCTGTACTGGAGTAGGGGTAGTATTCTATTCTGTACTGAATAGAAGTAGTAATCTATTCTGTACTGGAATAGGAGTAATAATCTGTTCTGTACTGGAGTAAGAGAAGTAATCTGTTCCGTACTGGAGTAGGAGTAGTAATCTGTTCTGTACTGGAGTAGGAGTAGTAATCTGTTCTGTACTGGAGTAGGAGTAGTAATCTATTCTGTACTGGAGTAGGAGTAATAATCTGTTCTGTACTGGAGTAAGAGAAGTAATCTGTTCTGTACTGGAGAAGGAGTAGTAATCTGTATTACTGTATATAGGAATAGAAACATATATTACATTAAATGAAAAGGGTTAAAAACATTTCCTATATTGGATAGGAATAGGTATCTATTCTATACTAAAGTAGGTATAAAAACATTTTCTATATTGTATAGGAATAGGTATCTATTCTATACTACAGTACTCAGTAGGCATAAAAACATGTTTTCAATTCTATACGTAGAGAAACCTGGTATACATATATTTATTGGAATAAGATTGAAAGCTTAGTATTTATCTTTGTTGGATTTAGAGCAGGAATATTTCTCTTTACTGGAGTTAGAACTTGAACTGTTTGTTCAGAAGTAGGACTAGGTTCATGATATTTCTTAAAGAAACACTAGTTATCATGCAAGGTTTTGGTAACATTATTTCGAGGTTTGAATACATCCAGAGGAGGAGGAGTTAGGAATGTTTTGAGGTTGTGAGGGGGAAACTATGTTAAAAGGTTGAATACTGGATAAAAGATAGATAAAACGTCGTTAGTTATCATCTCATGAGTTGTTATATATCAGGTTTATACTAGACTATTGTGAATGGTTGGATTAATCTAATTGATGAAACCTACCGATATTGATCCAACCCTATTCCCTCAGGTTGCTTCACACCAGGAGTAATGGACCGGAGAAAATCTTCCGGAGTCATGTATATCTCTTCTCCGATCTAAACAATGAATATCTCTTCTCCGACCTAAACAATGAATATCTCTTCTCAGATCTAAACAATGAATATCTCTTCTCAGATCTAAACAATGAATATCTCTGATCTAAACAATGAATATCTCTTCTCCGATCTATATAATCAATATCTCTTCTCTGATATAAACAATGAATATCTCTTCTCAGATCTAAACAATGAATATCTCTTCTCAGATCTAAACAATGAATATCTCAGATCTAAACAATGAATATCTCTTCTCCGATCTATATAATCAATATCTCTTCTCTGATATAAACAATGCATATTTCTTACTTACAAAAAAGTTTTTTCTCATGAATCGCCCATTTTTGGAATAGAATCTGATTTTGGGTTAAAAACTTTAAAAAGTAATAATTCCAATTTTACCCCTTATTTGAAATAAAGAGGGAGGCAATGAATAATCACCCCGGACTAACCAGAGTTAGCAGCATTCTGTTTCTCCTATTTGAAAACAAACGTGTTTTGGTCTATAATTCAACAATATTTTACCTTATGGATTTGTTTATTTTACTTTTTCATTCAAAACGCATATGCCGCAAAAAATTTTGAGAAAAAAAGGCTAAAAAGTTATGTTTAAATGGGTATAATTGTGATCGAAAGTCACAGCTTTCTGTAATATTGACAGAACCGTTAAATCAACGTAATATTTTTGAAAACTAAAACTGACCTTGTAAGAAGCAAAATATCGAAAAATCTTCTCTGGAGTTGAATAGTTCCGTATCCGGTTCTCATAGTCAATTATTTTTCTGTCTCTGAACCCAACCTTCTCCTTTTTTTGTTCCTCCTTCTCAGCTTCATCCGTTTTCATCTCATTCTCCTCTTCTTTTTCAACCTTGTCATCCTGAACCCTCTCCTCCTCAGCTTTAACTTCTACCTGGAGTTCAAGTCCCAACAGAACTATTCCTTTAATAGATAAAAGAACAGATAAAACTAATCTTGAAATCCCTATATATTCTTAAAAAAGCTATAACAAATATATCACGTAGTACGAACTAAGGCACTGAGATTTTGCCTAAAACTCAAATTTTCTAATCCGTATATCTTTGCAACCTGGTGGTGAAAAGCTTCAAAATTCATAATGTGAAATATCGAAGGTCTAATTTATTTGGTTGCAAAGATATAGGGATCAGAATATCATAGTTTGTGACAAGAACTCAGTTTAATTAAAAAAATATACACAATTCTAGAATATATATTTGCCACCTGCTAGATCAGTTCATAATCTAAGTTTGAAATATGAAAGGTTTCCAAAATCACCTTGCAAAGATATATATGGGTTAGAAAATTAAATATAATACGGGTGTTCAAATCCTATAATTGGATTTGGAGAATGTAATTATCTTGAACTTTCATATACATAATATAGAAATTTAGGAAAAAGTTAATTTCTAAATGATCTTGATTTTTTTAGGATTTAAATCTGTTAAATAGAAACTTAGATGTTAAAATTTAAATTCGAAATAAAAGATGAAGTTCAAAGAGAGTTAAAATGAGTAATGTTCGAAATTGGGCCAATTTATTTGGTCCATTTATTCCATTTTATTTATAAATGAACCATTGTAGTCAAGCTATTAAAAATTATGTTTAAAATACATTTGTATTACACGCACCCCTGACCCTTCAGTATAAGTAAATTAAACCTAAAGTCTGACCGTGTCAACTTTGTTGCACCGGCTAGTCCTATTGAGTGTCTCCTTTATTTATCCGGGCGATACAGTAAAAACTGGGACCGGAAAGGTTGACCCGGCTAGGAAATTCAAATGTACCACGGATGCCCCTGATTAATTTAATTCTTATCAATTATCAGTTGTGTATAAATGAACAAACCAAGCTTAAATATTAAATAAATATTTCTGTATATCAACTATATTATTCTCTGTATGAATTAACCTACCTAGAGCTAAAACAGTCCCAGATAGAGAACTACTAAGCAGATTTCTCCCCTCTAAGTATACCGTAGAGAATTTAGAGGATTTCATGTAGATCTCAGCTCAATAATATTCATGAATACAGGAATATATAAAGTAGAATCCATAAATATATGTATATTTTTAATTCTGAAATTAAGTTTGACTAGCTGCCAAAACTTAAAAGATTCAATTTATATAAAGGGTTGAAAACAGATATTGTTAAAGTCATCAAAACAGGATTTTCTGCAGACCTGTAATTTGGAATTAATGTTTTTGCAATCTAAAGTAAAGGGTTACAAACTTTCTCAGGATATATGTACAACTCTCCAGATATATGTACAACTCTCCAGATATATGTACAACTCTCCAGGTATATGTACAAATCTCCAGATATATGTACAACTCTCCAGATATATGTACAACTCTCCAGATATATGTACAACTCTCTAGATATATGTACAACTCTCCAGATATATGTTCAACTCTCCAGGTACATGTACAACTCTCCAGATATATGTACAACTCTCCAGATATATATACAACTCTCCAGATATATGTACAACTCTCCAGATATATGT